CCCCAAAACCCCAAAACCCCAAAACCCCAAAACCCCAGCTTATCAAATCACAGTTGAACCCTTAGCAATCTCTACTAAAACTTACTCTCTGGCTTACCTTTCTCTTCCACTAATAATCTGAGTCTACGTTGATAGGATTATCTAAACTTTAATCCCTCATCTTATCATAGGACCATGCAGATTGTAGCTTACAGTATTCAACCTTAATGTGCTTGAAAGCCTTTCCGATCTGTGCCTCCTCTGACTCAGAAATCTTGGTTCAGTCAAAACATATTTTTCCAGTAAGTTTGGACTGGAGGGGAAGGATCGAAGGTAGGTATGCAGTTATACTTCCAGCGGAGTACCCATTTGGGGAAAAGTTTAACGCTAAATCTTTGAGGCCGTGCGGGATTTTGGAAGTGAAGTTATGGAAAGTTTCTATGTGAGGATAAGAATTCAGGGAAGATGGGATGGGTTGGTGATTAGAGTGGCAATAGTTTGGTTCATTCATGTGGGGTGTTTCGAATACAATTTGGAGAAGGATGCATAGGATAATATTTAGCAGAACAAATCAACATTAGAGAACTTCTATTTATTCTCATTCTACTGAGTTTTAGGGTGAATTTTGAGAAAGCAATATTGATTTAATTCTTGTAAACTTGATCTTCTCAAATAAAAAGTATTTGATGCTTATAGTTTCATTAAAGTTAAATTTTAAAACTATTAGACAGATCAAAGCCAATGGCATAGGTTTGAATATCTATTTTATATGACTGCTATGAAAATATAAGCAGCACCTAGAATTGCTTGATCTATCATCAACGATTCTAAAAGAGAATAATTTTTACTGAAGATGTTATCGAGTTTCATTCAAATTGCTTTAAGCTATTGAATTTAATTTTACAAGCAGAGAGTCAGATGGATACGTCAAATATCAAAATTCTTCAATGAATTTGATGAATTTTAATTGAAAATAAAATACCTAAGCTTCAGGCTCCTTCAAGACAAATTAATTTCTGATAGAAGCTTCATACTTTGCAATTTTTTCAAAATCATTAATGATCATTGTTACAAAAATACAGCTTTCCTTACTTTCATCAACTCAGCCAACATTAACCAATCTAATTTCTTCCAAATGTGATAATTCCTTCGCATCCGCTAATTCCATAACTTTCAGGCCCACTTTATTTCTCAAATCAAAATTAAAACTTTTAGAAGAAGCCATCTTCTTCGCAAATTCGCGACCTATTGTTGAGAGTCAGAACTTACATTTAGGGTTTTTCTCCATCTCTGCTTCCAGAAGAGACTTCTTTTTTGGAGGAGAATTATCTTCCTATAGGTTGATCAGCAGACAATTACTGATTCTTTGGTTTCTTCTTGAGATGCTTTGAATTCTTCTTTCAATTTAGCTTGATCAGCTTGAATATTTTCTGTAAATTTTGTTAGAGATAAAATTTTAATTTGTAAGATCATTCTGAGCCAGACTATTGTGAAAATGAACCCACCTTTAAGTGTTTGTATATTTTGTGTGGTGGCTTTATGGTTTTTCTTTTGAGTCTTTTTAAGAGCATCTACTTCTTTTGAAATATTCTGGGTAAGCTTATCATAGATGTTCTTTAGATGGTCAATCTGGGTGATGTGTTCTTGTCTTTCAGTTTGATGTCTCACAAGGCTTCTATCAAGCTCAGCATTCGTGTTCTCAAGCTCATTGACTCTTTGTTGTACAGTTTCAAGTTCTTGGACTCTGGCTTGAGAGATCTCTAGGTCATTAGCCAGTTGGTCTCTCTGTCTCACAAGTTCATCATTGATATTTTCTTGCTCTGTCAATCTGTCCCTACAGTTTCTTTGAAGTTCAACCTTTTCTCTAACCATCTTTTCAAGTTGTCTTCTGAGCTGGTTGTTCTCCTTGATTGCCATCTCACTTGGAAGGATCCCATTGGCTCTCTGTCTAATGTTCTCCGCATTGATATAATGAAGGAATGTCCTGAATAATTCGCTAGAATTGAACTCCTGAACAAGAGAATCTATAAAAGTTAAGCATTGCTTATGGTAAAAAATAACAAAGACTTACCAATTTGGGTTTCAAGTTCCTGCATCTTTGTCCAAAGTAGGTTGTCTACCAACTCTTTGAGCCTTGCTTCACCTTGGACTACTCTTTGTTCGAAGTTGTCAATAAAGTCTTGGAGTCCATCCCATCTGTCATTAAATCCGGGTTCATTTATTCCTTCAAGGTTGAATTTGACTAAACCTGAATTAGCAAATCCTTCAATTTCGCATGTTAAATTTTAAAATTATCAGAAGGTCTAGAATCTCCCAGCCAAAAGATCATACAAACAACTAGCTAGAAGCATTACATACAATAATGCGTTGACTTTAATAAACTAGCAAGGAGAGACACCCCACAATACAAAACAAAGGACTTTTCATGGTCGTCTCTCTTTTCCTGCTTACCGTAGTCTAAAGATTTCTGGATTTCTTCAGGGTCGACAAGCGGAACTGTCTCTCCATCGAAGTACTTTAGCTTCTTGCAACACCCGCACACATATATAGCATCATACGTTACGTAGTGCTTGGCCTTCTTGCCACAGTGGATGAGCTGACAACTCAGGTTTCTGAATTGGTCCATTTGTAATTTATTTTTATAAATATTCTTATTTCTGCATATTTATACTATCACGGGGTTTTGGGGTTTTGGGGTTTTGGGG